TCCAGAAATATCATTTGACCCAGCAATCCCATTACTACGTATATACCCAGAGGAGTATAAATCATTCTACTATAAAAACACATGCACACGTATGTTTATTGCAGCACTGTTCACAATAGCAAAGACAGGGTACCAGCCCAAATGCCCATCAATGATAGACTGGATAAAGAAAATGTGGCACATATATACCACGGAATACTATGCAGCCACAAATAAGAATGAGATTGTGTCCTTTGCAGGGACATGGATGAAGCTGGAAGCCATCGTTCTCAGCAAAGAACAGAAATCCAAACACTGCATGTTCTCACTCATAAGTGGGAGTTGAACAATGAGAACATACGGACACAGAGAGGGGAACATCAAACACCAGGGCCTGTTGGGGAGCGGGGGGTGGGGAAGGGAATCTAGAGGTTGGGTCAATAAGTGCAGCAAATCACCATGACACATGTAACAAACCTGCACATTCTGCACATGTATCCTGGAATTTAAAGTTAAAAAAAAAAAAGTCACGAGTCTCTCAAAACTGTAGTTTCCTCAACCCTACATCCCCCACTCAGCTCTGTACCTTCTCCTATTTTCCACATCAAAGATAACACAAGCGTCTTCTTTTAACACATTTTGGAATCACTCATAATGCCAATTCCCACGAAAAGTAAGCCGAGTTTAGTTTTATGAAAATCTGTTTGGTCCTATTTATTTATTTATTTTTGTGACAGAGTCTCGCTCTGTCACCCAGGCTGGAGTGCAGTGGTGCCGTCTCTGCTCACTGCAACCTCCACCTCCCAGGTTCAAGCAGTTCTCCCACCTCACCCTCCCAAGTAGCTGGGATTACAGATGCATGCCACCACACTCAGCTAACTTTTTATACTTTTAGTAGAGGTGGTGGTAGAGGGGTGGTGGTTCACCATGTTGGCCAGGCTGGTCTCGAACTCCTGACCTCAAGTGATCCACCCGCCTTGGCCTCCCAAAGTGCTGGGATTACAGGCGTGAGCCATCTGGTGTCTGCAGTTCAGTCCTGATTGAAGACCCTGAGCGCCTGGGCATGTCTGTCTGTGTCCATGGCTGCTGCAGGCCACACTATGTAAAATGAAATTTGTGCTTTTGAAACCAGAACTCTGGCGCTGAAAAGCCCAATCCTCCCTCTCTGAGTATGAACGAAATAGTTTGTCTCTGTAGCATAGTAAACAAAGCAGAGAAGCCCATTAGCAACAGGATCTGCGGTGGTTGATGACTATGAACACAGCTGATGGGCAAGTCCCGGGCATCGTTCAGGATTAATTTATGCTGGCTGCTTTGGCTTCCTCATCTTGTACATATTTGGTTTAGAGAATGTGAGGAATTTGCTAGCTGAGCAAGTTTATCCATCCTGCTTTCTAACTAGGCTCTTTCTCACTGAGGTATGTTTCTAAAATTTCCCTCAGCAGGCTTTGTTCCAAAAGCAGCACAGGGTTCAACGGGACAGTTTAAATCTAAAACACATCCTCCCTAAAAATGCACTGTTCTCTGTCAGGACACAGAATCTGGCTCTGTCTTTGAAACGGAGGTGACTGAGCTTACTACCAAAATTTCTAGCAAAGACTGGAAGGACATTATCCCTCTACGTGCAGACAATACATGAAAGAGGCCAGTGGGACAAAGGTTATTTGCTAACCACTCACTACGTGCAACACGAGACGTCATTCCATTTGACTAATGTGGGAGCCGACTGCTGCAGAAGGTGAATGACTTGGACAAGTTCAATTACTAAATGGTAGTGCAGGAATTTAAAACCAAGTCTTGTGTCACAAGGCTGATTGCATTATGTGAGTGTAACGCTTCTATCTCAGCAAGTTGACCAACTATAAACTAAATGTCACTAAGAAAGCGTAGACTATTATATTAGATACTAAGATTCCAAGGCTTGCACCTGTAATTTCAGCTATTCGAGAGGGTGAGGCCAGGAGCTGGAGGTTAGCCTGGGCAACCCACAGTGTGATTCTCTCTAATTAATAAATAAAATACATTAGACAAAAATAAATAAATTAGATAAAACCATTTTGCATTAAGAGTTGGAATTTAAAATATATATATAAATCAAAGTCCAGATTAATTACTTAAAAAAATCATAAACTAAATTGATTTTCTAATATGTAAACAACCCTGAAACCTATCTTAAGAATTCTTTGGAAAGTTAAATTGGTTAGTGATGACATGAAGAAACCTTCATTTTTCTCATATTTAATTTTCTTGTGTGCATTTATTTTGGAAAAAAATTAACATTAAATGTATCATGTGGAAATGAGTCCAAAAGTAACAATCAGTTAGAGTTCATAAGTAATGCCCAAGGCAAAAAAGCAAGAAAAATAAAATAGAACCACAGCACCATCTAGTGACAGAACTCTCGCTTTACAAGAAAACAACCTGATGCAATTACATTTTGCAAATCAGTCCTTAGAAACTTCTGAGCCTGAAGAGTATTCATAAAATTGTCCAAAAGAAGAATGTCTACTGACAATGCATAATCAAAAATTAAGAGAAGACAGGATAGATTCTTCTCCCAAGTTTCCATTTGGAAGCTAAAGGCAAACCCAATTTTTACTCCTCAAAAGAGTAGGTGCCATGGGTCCTGTTTACTTTCCCCTCTGCACCCAGAAGCTTTACGTACTATTTTATGAGCTAATAAGGGTTGGAAGCCGGGCATAGTAGCACATACCTGTAATCCCAGCTACTCAGGAGGCCAAAGGGAAGGACTTCTTTAGCCCAGGAGTTCAAGACCAACCTGGGCAACATAGTGAATGATCCACTCTCAAAAACAAAATAATAAGGGTTCAACCGCAAAACACAGATGGTGTAAAGACCTATTCAGTAAATCTGAAATGTTTCTCCATGAGTCTGACTAGGACTAATTCAAGATGGTAAACACAAGGCTTAATGTAAGACTCAAGCATCTTCCTTTGAGAATAGCATTATCACGAAGAAAGCATCATTACAAGGAAGCATCTTCCTTCTAATTACCTTTCCCTGTAGTCTTGTCAATGTAGGTGGTGATAAATCTGAAATGTACTAGTCAGGCATGGTGGTGCACACCTGTAGTCCTAGCTACTGGGGAGGCTGAGGAGGAAGGATCACTTGAGCCCAGGAGGTCAAGGCTGCAGTGAGCTAATTACGCCACTGCACTTCAGACTGGGCAAGAATCAGACCTCATCAATCACTCATTCAATCTAAAATAAGTAAATCTGAAATATATTGTCTTATTTTTTTCCTTTTTTTTAATTGCATTTTAGGTTTTGGGGTACATGTGAAGAACATCAAGATTGTTGCATAGGCACACACATGGCAGTGTGATTTGCTGCCTTCCTCCCCTTCACCTATATCTGGCATTTCTCCCCATGCTATCTCTCGCCTATTTCCCCCCAACAGATTCCAGTGTGTAGCGCTCCCCTCCCTGTGTCCATGTGTTCTCATTGTTCAACGTCCGCCTGTGAGTGAGAACGTGTGGTGTTTGATTTTCTACTCTTGTGTCAGTTTGCTGAGAATGATGGTTTCCAGGTTCATCCATGTCCCTACAAAGGACACGAACTCATCGTTTTTGATGGCTGCATAATATTCCATGGTGTATATGTGCCACATTTTCCCTGTCCAGTCTATCATCGATGGGCATTTGGGTTGGTTCCAGGTCTTTGCTATTGTAAACAGTGCTACAATGAACATTCGTGTGCATGTGTCCTTATAGTAGAACAATTTACAATCCTTTGGATATATACCCGGTAATGGGATTGCTGGGTGAAATGGAATTTCTATTTCTAGGTCCTTGAGGAATCACCACACTGTCTTCCACAATGGTTGAACTAATTTACACTCCCACCAACAGTGTAAAAGTGTTCCTATTTCTCCACATCCTCTCCAGCATCTGTTGTCTCCAGATTTTTTAATGATCGCCATTTGAACTGGTGTGAGATGGTATCTCAATGTAGTTTTGATTTGCATTTCTCTAATGACCAGTGATGATGTGTCTTCTTTAAATGCTCAGCAAATAAAATGCCCAGAGACACTTTTTTTTTAATTGCAAAAATATTACTTCAAGAGCCAAGAAATGGAAAACTTTTTTGGGATCTCAAGATTTACATTTTGTCCAAGATGTTGATTCATGGCCAGGGAGACAATATATTGAATAACTTTATGATTGTTACGAATGAACAAAAAAAATTACCAAGGAAGAAGAAAATACATTTCTACTGAGTAATTACGTGGATTGACTATATCAGTGTATGTGAAAAAGTGTTTTACTTCCACTACGCTTGCGCAATGTTTAAAGTGAAGCTAGTTTTCACTACAGCAAGATTCATTTAAACATTTACAGTGACTGGCTCCATCAGCTCCAATCTCTTTGCAGGCAAGATAGTAGCTGAACCTAGGAGGGTATGTAGCACTTCTCTGATAAATCCCTAACAAAAATTCAAAATATGCATGAATTTCACAATTCAAATCCTGAGTTGACAATTTTTCAAAATCACATAATTTCATCTGGTTTTTTGACAGTAATGAGATACTACCTCATTACAGGTAAAAACTGCTAAAATACTCTGTAGAAACCAACACAGCAGAGTTGGGGAGAAGCACAGGCAATACAGCAAGAAAACCCCAGCCCAGCAATCATTAGCTCTGTGACCTTGAGAAGATTCCTACCTTAACTTCAAATGCTTCATCTGTAAAACGAGGATTAAACATATCATTTGAAGGGTTAAGTGTTAAAAAAAAAAAAAACCATATGAAGTGCCTAACAGATAATAGCACTCAATAAATGGTAACTCTTTACGAAAACTGATAGCATGCTTCTTTAAACAGTAACTCAGTAGATGCTATGTGGCCCAGGACCGGTCCTAGGCAAATCTATTAACTAGACTTTATGCCTCTCGCCTTTTAAGCACTACCTCCTAAATCTGTAGGTAAAACTGGGCCAGAAAAATTGACAAAAAGGCAAGAGAAGACATTTGAGTCCACCAAGAGTCAAACACCCCATAAAGCTTTCAAAGACAGGTTTATTTATATATAAGTGCATGAAATTGAATACAGAAACTTTATTAAAATACTGTATATTACAAATTTTTAATCCAATAAATTCTGTGTAATGACAGTTAAGTGCTGGATTCACTTTTGACAGTTGTTTTGTGTGTATCAGTAAAGAGTTCACCCTGTATATTACAAAGAGGAGAGCCACATGTGGACCACGGAAATGGTCCTGTGATCAGACACTGAATGACAGTAATTGTGCATCTTTTCCTTAAAGCAATGAATTGAAACCTAGATCTTATCGTTGTAGACCTACTTTCTATAATTAAAAATAACTTGCATATGTTTATTGCTGCCCTTTGAAGAAAATGAGAATGGTGGAAAATAATTTAAAATAAAGATCAACATCTCTAAGGCTAAACTGATGCTTACTGCAATTAAAATACTTAAAATTCACTGCAAAATTTGTGTTCTCCAGGAAATTATGCTATATACACAACGAGATTTGTACATGAATTGGGAAATAAAAAATTGCTTATATAAAATTAAAAATCAATAATATACAATATTTACAGCTTGTTAGGTATTATATATAAACATAGTTTTTAAAATAATCCTTCGAAATTAAACTGCTTTATGTAAACATGCAGTACACATACTCATACAGCATAGTTTATAGTCTTAACAGAAGGGGGAAATTGTGTTCACATAACATAGGGTACTTCATCAAATATGCCTTTGTTTTTGTGTATTACCCCTCCAACGTTTTTTCTCCTGTCTTTAAGCTTCACAGTACATTTAGTATTTCTATAGTAAAAATAAATCCCTGATGGTAAACATATCGAAAGGTTAAAGTGTGTGCCCTGTACTACAGTATAAAACTAACACTGTTCACTAGAATCTCTAGTTTACAACAAAACTAAATTTTAAAATCCCACATTTAATTTTCTTAACTACATTTTTTCCATTTCATACTTACTTGGAAAAAGAAAAACTAGAGAAAAATACCACATCGTGAAAATATAATGAAAGTAGCTGTCATCTGTCACAGTCAATGTTAAGTAACTGATTTACATTGAACCATATAAAGTTAGTAGCCACTACCTGTTAGGCTTCCTGAACTCGGAATTCCCAGTCACGGGTGGCGTGTACCCAGCCAACTCACTGGTGCCAATCCTGAATCTTGCTAAATCCACTTTGCACAAGTATCTTAACGTACAAGGCACTAAAGCATCACTTAGCTTTTAAAATCTGCCTGTGACATACTAAATGATTCATCAGTGGTCTGAGAGTTACAATTTGAAAGTGAGACTTTTAATACCTGTCAGGTAAACTATATTTTTGCTATTTAAATAAAGACATTTTAGCTAGTTGACTTTAAGATAAAGTTGATTCCTCATTTCAGAATAACTAGAATCAGGGGCTAATACTTATGGTAGAATCCTATGAATTTTACCAAGTTAGATGGCTAAAACAAAAAATACTGTTGAATTTCCCATTTGTCCATCTCAATGTGTGGAGCTCACATCTGAATGTGTGTATTGGTGAGAGGGCCAAATCTTTTTAAAAATGCCACCATTGTAAATACATCCTACATCACAAACACTAAGAGTGTCAACTGTTAAGACTATCTTAACAATGATGTGTAAATAATTTAAAAACAAGAGAGACTTCGTCATCAGTGGTCCTCTTACGCTATTATTCATTTAAACAGGGCTCCAAGAAAAGTGCTTACTTCAGCATGACAGAATATTTTTAAAGTGGTGATTTTTGGTAATTACCAATTTATATCTAAGAGAAAAGTGTTACAGTTACGTGACTCAGATGATTGATTATGCACCATAATTCCTCTTCCTGTGTATTTGTGTCAAACTGCTTTTCAGTTTCAGTTATCCACCTAAATACATTCCCAAAAAGGGGAAAGTCACATTACTACCAAGAGTAGATACATGTGGGTGCACCACCTAATCTTAAAAACGTATGTATGAGGTTCATGCTCTTCTGACTTGCCTAAACTATTTACTTTTCAAAGATTAGAGCTGCATAACTGTAGGTGTTAAGAATATTCTTTCCTATACCAGCTCCTTGGATTCTCCCAACAAACTATACATATGTTTAAACTATAACATACGACACCTATATGGCAAGAGGAGGATTTTTAGAAAACTGCTAAATCCATTCTCAAAATCAGGGAAGAGTTATTATGTCAGTTCAACACATGTGGAATAAATGTAAAGAATGTGAAAACAACTTCCCTGAACTCAGGGTAAGAGATGATTATAGTTCATAGTTCAGTTCACTCAGAAATGTGTTTCCACTAATTTAGTAAAGTATTATCTGATATATCTCTACATTTACTAAAAATACTTCAGATATTAAGCATTATTTCCCCCCAATTCACAGATACCTTTGTAGATAACTAATTCAGCAACCTTCTTAACAACACTGTACTGCCTACACAGAACAGCACTCCTTAGTGAGAAGAGCAAAGCTGTTACCACACACATGAAAATCGTAATACAATTTGAGAACACACAGTGGTCAGTGAAGCCTCACATGTAAAGAAACACAGCATGTGTAAACATGCAGTATACATACTCATCCAGTGTAGTTTATAGTCCTAACAAAAAGGTTGAAACTGTGTTCACAGGATGTAGGGCACTTCATCAAATATGTTGTTTTTGTGTTACCTCTCCAAGTATTATAATTTTTAATCAAATAATGTCCTTTTTATCCTGAAGAGTCTTCTTCCAAGATGTTATAACAAGGACAGGAAAGCTAAGAAAGATTATAAAACCATTTGATTATTGGTCCATTTTAACCATTGAGAGTTTCACCTCAATTATTAAAAGAAATAGTAATTTACCCAGTTACCCAACAAGTGTTACCAAATTTATCTGCAATCTCAATCTGCTAGAATTTCTTCAGTAATTTTCCTCATTCCTCACATCTTAAAAACAAATAATGACTGCAGAGATTCTGATTCAGACTGAGAGAAAAATCTGTAGTGTCAAGAGCGAAGTGGTTTGAGATTTCAGAAATTGCTCCAGGCATCTTGTTACTCCTTGAACTATATGATGGATATAAATTTAAAATAATGGTAAAGTTAAAAAAAATAAACAAAATAACATCTAGGGCTTAAGCACACTTGGCCCGTGGAAGAAAGGACTTGGTAGACACTGAATATCCTTCCATTTTTCTAAAGAACTGGTACTATACTGCAGAGCCAAATGCCCAGGGCTGGTAGAAGAAGCAGACATATAGGCAGAGGGGCTATATATAGCTCTTACTTTTCAAGAAGAATAATTTGCAAATAGCAGAAAGTCAATGAATCAAAATGGCAGAATGAATCCAAGGGAGCTAAGTGGGATTAGGTAAAGGAGTAAAGGCTGACTACCTCTCTACCCTTTTTCTATTGTAACCAGTGGTCAACAGACCTAATTTAGTCCCACTTGCACTGGCCACTTCTACCAGCACAAATTCACAAAAGGATCTTAAAGATCTGCTGATTTTAAAAAGAAAAGGTGAAGAGGAGATGAAGCAAAATTATAAGAGAATGTTTTTAGTTTCTTTCCTAAAATATATATAAGGAAAATATAGAAATAAAAGAAAATTGAATTTTACAAAACATATTCAATTGCTAATGCAATTACAAAATATAATTTTAAAAAATTCTAGAGATTATCCTTTGATCATTTACTGTCAAATACATACTGCTTTGCCATTCATAAACAATCTCACATAATCCTCACAATAACTACATGAGGTATTAGTCACATTTTATAAAGTGAGGCTCAGAGAAGTTAAATGATTTGCTCAAGGTCAAAAAGTTGACAAGTGACAGAGTCTTAATTCAACCTGTGTTGCTGACTTGGAGTCTAGTATTCTCTTCACTATGTCACAGCCATGGTATCTCAGTTATGGAAATTCTATTTAGTGGATGAACCAGGAAACTGAGAATCTTGAGGGGTAAAACAGGCTAACTCTCAACTAAGATCAGGAAGCAAAATGTTGTCCCAAACTTTTTAGGATTTAAAATCATCTTGCTAGCTCTTGGTGGACTCAAGATCAAAAATCCCATCTTGGTAATTCTTGTTCTTACTAGAGAAAATACTTGGTACAGCACTTTACACAGCGGATTCACAAAAAGTGTTTACAAAATGGAATTATTTGGTGTGTGAGTGGCAGCTGGGTACATGATATGGCAGCCCCACTTTCTTCATTAGAGGTTCTTTGAAAACCTTTTCCACAACATTCTGTGATTTTAAATTATCCCCGTTCCTTATATCACAAATACAAGATATACAAGCCAACTCATTTCTTTATTTCTCTCATTTAAGGTATAAACAAAACCCTTATACTTTTTTGAGCAGTGGAAATGTATGCTACAAATACTAAAAAAAGTATATTGGGTAACAAATTGTAACACTGTTTGGTAAACATTAAGATCTAAAAGAATAATAATTCAACTACAAGCCCTGAATATAGCCATCATTTAGGACTTTGCTTATCCTAGGCAAGATAGGGTATTACCTTGGAACTGTCCCATGGAAAAGACTACCTGTTCTTCTTTTAAAGTTTTAAGCATTATTTGTAGTTTATTTGAGGCCCCCTGACTAGCTGTGATCTATGGGTATTTTTAATCAGTGTGATAAATAATAATTAGTTTGGGCATATATGAGTTCTTTCTTTGGGGAACTAATTTCACTATTAGCAATATTTTATTAAACATTTTAAAATAAAGGAGTGTCCACTATAAACGGTCCTCCCTCCCTTCCTGTATTTGTCACAAAGAAAATTTACTGCTAAATCACATATAAATTTTAACAAAGTATAACCCAAATATATCAATAAGGGCTTTTGTCATATCCCAAACAAGGGTTTCCAGCTCTATTAAGTGAAGACAATTTTCCCAAAATTCAAAATTCTCAAACATCCTCAAACCTATTTAAAAGATCATTACACTGAACAAATTCTCCAATAGAACATGAAAGTGTTCATTGAAAAAAAGCTTTCCAAGTAAACTGTATTCATATATAGCAGCACTCTATATACGTATATAATGATATACATATGTGTGTGTATATATATATCATTAAACATTTCTTGTGTCTATAGGAAAGCTACTAACTTTTAAAAAATCTCAGCATATAAACAGCTATTAAGACAATACATAAATTCACACTATTCAACTGCATCTCAAAACATCAAAAGAATGACGCTGCGCAAAATCCCAATGGAAGTAACTGAAAACAGCAAAGAAACCAAAAATAACCACTAAAATTAAAAGTATACACACACAATTCATAACGTAAAGCAACTTGATAATGAGATAACGGCAGGACACTCTACATACAAACTAATTATTAACCATTCAATTATACTTTCATTCTAGAGTAAAAACAAGAGTTAACTCTTTGGTCCACACATTAGTACATTTAATGTATCCAAGTTATTTTCTGGTTAATTTTGGATTATGAATCATGCTCCATATTACTTTACCATAACTTTCTTAAATCATAAAATAACCATATGTTAAAATAAGTATTCATTCTGTAGATCTGAAACAATTTCCACATGCTATTGGTAATTCCTCTGGAAGAACATGAATGCGTTAAATTATTGACAGAATAGCCAAAGTAAAGAGGAACACAATTCAGGTCTAGCAGAAAAGAAAAAATCAGATTAACTTGGAAAAGTTATGCCTAAATTTAATTTGTAAAAACATCAGCAATATAAAGAACACATGAAAACAATTTCAGGCTTGTACATAATAAAAAGAATCAATTTTAAGATTTACTTCAAAGATCCATGCATAGTTGCTTATTGTTTTTTTTAAAAACAAATTTCCAAGCCACAGTGATAGTAAATCCCCCAAATTTGCAATTGCAATGCAACTGCAAAAGGTAATTTAAAAAAATTCTAGAGACTATCAATTGATGATCTACTGTCAAATACATACTGCTTTGCCATTCATAATGGTAAACTGGTAAAAGCACTGCTTCCCCAACTTCTCATTGATAAGTTGTGGATATATTCTGCTTCTGGGTAAAGAAAAAGTGATGCAGGTAACAAAGTTCTTAAATTTGAATGGGATATTAGAGAAGCCTACTTTTATAGCAAATTGGATTAAACAGCGAGGCTACCAGATTTTTTTTTATTATCCTTAACTTCATATTCTCTGCAACGGCTCCTACTTTGAGTTAGCACATTTTAACTGTATCTGGTGCCAAAAAAAATCTCATTGGAAGACCAGTTCAACCCTACTTCCTATACTCTTGCAATTATGTATTGCTAAAACCTCTTAAAATGTTTTATATAAAGGACATTTCCACTTTAACACATGCCCTCACTGATTCTTCCAGTAAACTTAAATTTAAATCGTAATATCATAAATCAAGAACTGAACAACTGAAATAAATTACTCAAATACACGTTCAATACTGCATTGATATGCTGAGACTGCCAAACTTTAAAATTACCTACTGTATTCCCCAATTTTTTTAACAAAATTATAATGTTACCATATATCCAAAGAACAGTTATTACTCTTCCTATATAACTTACTTGTTACTTATCTACAAATGAGGTCTTTATTTCCAGAGCCTAATTTAGGCCACTCTCTAAAAACAGTTAATACTCCAGAATGAAAGACTGTTTATGTTTTGTCAAAAATCAAGATATATGCAACATGTAATATTATCCCACTGAGATACTAGTTATAAAGATGTTTTGTCCATGAGATACGAGGCAAAAACTTTCTTTAGAAGGGTCAAAGAATGCAACATGCATTTCAGACTTTTTTTCTTACAAAATTTTTAAGAAAATTTTCAAATTACATTTTTATGACACACAAACTACAATCAATGTGTATGACCCTTAAAGTTTCTGAATTTTTATAGAATATTTATGCACAAGGGAAACTGTTTTAAGTTAGTGAAAAGTATGCACCCTATAGAGCCACTCTGAGTTCTTAAAACATTTGAGCTAGTCTTCCATTAAGAAGACTTATCTTCCACATCAATTAAATAATACCTAAACATATTGAAGCCCTAAATCCCAGAAATGTGCAACATTAAAAACCAATTAATTTCTCTCATATTAAACAATTCGGTATTTAGCACTCATACGGGATTTAGTGTTACAGGACAAAAATCTTAGTACATTACCTGAATTCATGTCAAATATGTTCACAGCACTCAGCTACATCTACACTTGCAAATTGTCACATGATCAATGTTAACAAAAAGAAAAGAGTTTGGCACATATATCAATACCTCGAAACATCCCTGTAACTTAACACAACACTGTTAAAAACGATGATTTCAACACCAATGTTAACCTGATAGGCAGCTAAACAAGGTGCTTTTTCTTGTAACTTTACATAGTGTCTTAATGCACCTTGCCTGGGACAGAGGCACATAAGGTGCAGTGCGGTAGTGCAATCACTTGAACACCAGAGGGCAATCTTTCCACACAGCTCAAGGTCTTCCTTATGCTTTGACCTGCTCAGTCCACATTCTTGCACAACTTCATTTCCACTTTTAACAATGCCGTTTTCAGGGAATCTGTACATCTGTTTCCTTATATGAAGTAAGACATTCTCACAGAAACCTCAAAGTGTAGCGAGGATCCTTGAAAAGGAGATGATTAATGTCAATACAGTCTGTCCAACGCCCCATACCAGCGCTTCCAAAGGGGCCATGTTCTTCCCAGCTACTCTGTAAATGCCCGCTACTGCTGCACCTAAGGAGAAATGAAGGGACACATTCACTCACTTTATAACACACTGCATGGCTGCACCTTAAGAGCTCTTTTCATTTCCTCAAAACAACATTAAGTCATCATCTTTCTCATTTTATCCACTTTCTATGAAAAAGTTTCCCTGTGATTAGTGAAAGTCACAACTTACCATAATGTATTTAGCCACTTATTTGAAAAACAGACTTTTCTATTCAATCAAAAGATACGTATTGATGGTATATGCTGCATACTTGATAGTAAATGTGTTCATAAAAAAATGAATAATTCATTATTGCAACCTCTCATCTGGCCATTCAATTAGCTAGACCTCTGTAGCATTTCTGCAAACATAACACACTGATAATTATAAATCATAATGCAGAAAAATGTAATTTCTAAATTATTAATAAATATTTTAATATTAAAGGTATCTTTTTTGAATAAAATTAATTCTTAAATGTCATGTAAACTATAACACCTGACTAATCCATCTCACAATCTAGCATATAAAATAGTTCATTGCTTTTTAAATAAAGCATCCAACTCTAAGTTATTTGGAGACTAGTATCTTGACATCTAATAGGAATGGAAAATGAACTTGACATCTATTCTAGGGAGGTTCTTTAGGTAATGTACACTTCCAAGAATAGGAGAATCTCACATATGAGGAACCTCAGTACCCAACTGATTCAACATCTGATCTTCACAGAACATCCCTAATGATGTGGGATCTAAGTGGCTAACTTTAAAAGCACATTTAGGAACCATAAAGGAGGTAACATTTATATTATAATATGATGTCTCACAGACTGAGATGGCCTGAAAACTGTCTTTTTTTTTTTTTTTGAAACGGAGTCTCACTCTGTTGCCCAGGTTGAGAGTGTAGTGGCACGATCTCGGCTCACTGCAACCTCTGCCTCCCAGGTTCAAGTGATTCTCCTGCCTCAGCCTCCTGAGTGGTTGGGTTTACAGGTGTGCACCACCATCCCCGGCTAAAGTTTGTATTGTTAGTAGAGATGGGGTTTCGCCATGTTGGTCAGGCTGGTCTCAAACTCTTGACCTCATGAGCCGCCTGCCTCAGCCTCTCAAAGTGCTGGGAGTACAGGCATGAGCCACTGTGCCTGGCCGGTCTGAAAACTACTTTCTTAGAAAAACTGTCTACATATCCTAAAATGGTTAAATAAAAGAACATAGGAAGATAAGTTATCTGAAGACACTGAATTTACAATTACAATTAAGATTGGAACCTAGTCATGAAAATTAGGATATAATTTTTACTTGTCAACTTAGAAAAAAATTAGCTAAAGATTAATTCTTTGTACTTCACTCAAAATCTTCCAAATAAAAGTAATTGTATTGCTCCATAAGAGATGTAAACAGGAAAACAGGAAAAGCAAATTATTAACCTAACCCAAGAGCTTTCATATATGTTTTTAAATAAAAGGAAATTAGTGTACTTACCATATACTATGTATTTTGCTAGGAACTTTACAAATATTATCATATTTAAATATCGTACCACCCCCTCAGTATTATCATCTAATTTAAACGTGAAAAAAACAGGTTCAGAGAGGTTCAGTAACTAGCCCCAGGAAATACAGCAAGTACAAGAGCTGGGATTTCAATCCAGGTTAGTCTGGCTATAATTCCAAAAATCATTCTATTGCTTCATATTTATACTAAGTGAAAATGAGAACAAAGAATTCCGAAAATGATAAAGTAGCTGATAAGCATCTCTAAACTCCTAGTAGCATCAACATTTACTTAATCAAATAATAAAATAACTTGTATAATTGGTCACATATCCAGATTTTAGAATTGGATGACATCCTTTAAAAATATTAAGTATCCTTTACCTTTGTTATCAGAAATTATGTTAAAATAAGCCTGAGTAATACTCTATGTTTCTCTGGATTCACCCTAGATTTAGATGACTATCTTCAATTTTAAAAACCACAATTTGGCCTCCATCCCTCTGATACTAAGTTTTCCATCATGATCCAAGAAGGGGAAAATCGAAGCAATTACTAGCTCAGGCTGCCTGCAAAATGGCAAACAAATGTGTCAATTCAAACTCTCCAGGGGTTCTGGAGCTAGACTCCTGGATTAAAATCCAAGCTCTACTACTTAGCAACTGTGTTACACTGGGCAATCACTTAGCCTCCCATGCCTTGCTTACTCAACCATAAAATGGGTGGGCATGAAGATTAAAAGATGATACTTGTCAAGTGTTTAACATAGTGGATGATCCTAGTATGTACTCAACAAATTTTGGCTAGTAATCATCGTAGTAGTAAATGATAAAGATAATTCCAATCAGTGATTCACCATCCAATAAATAGTAGAACAACTGGTAGCCATTTCAAAAAAATAAATTTAGGTCCCTACTTCACACCATCCCCCAAAATAAATTCCAGATGGATTAAATAACTAAATGTTAAAAACAAAAGTACAAATCTAAACTTTAAAATGTAAGAGAATTATGTTTGCGATCCTAGGAAAAGAGATCTTCTTAAGACCACAAAAAAAAGAGTAAAACCCATAAAGGTTTCACATCAAGGAAAGACTAGAAAAACATTTGCTATGTGTAAAACAAATTGATGATTGGTATTTAGAATATAAACACACACATATGCATGCATAAGCACGCATATAGTAATAAATACAGCAATTCTGTAATCAAACAAAAACAAAACATACGTCCACCATCAGATGGAGACAAACTACATGAGGTCTGTATCATGAACCCATACAGTTTCAAAAGGAAAATATAGATCTATATGAACTAAAATAACTTAGACATATGATTCATGTAACAAAGAAAATAAAACATAAAACACGTATTCTTTACTAGTACATACATACATGTGTATGTATGCATGCATGTATTGATGTATGTATGAGTGAATGTAATGCATCAACAAGAATCTGGTGGAAAATAGGGATTACTTTTGAGAAGAGCACTAGTTTGAGAGTGTTGGTCAAAAGGGACTTTTGCTTTATTTATAATGTTTTCAGTTTTACATAATGAATATAATCATACAGTACTGACATAATAAAAATTTTAAAATGTAACTTAATTTCTATACCTAACTTGCCTAAAACGTCCCTAAAATTCCAAGAAACTTTCATCTTAAACGTCAGGATATGAAAGATGTTTCATTTTAAATGCCAGGTTATCTTTCAATCCTATGTTTCAAACAACAATATTGGTATACAATGAACAAGTTCAATAAATTCTTAATTTAAAATAACAGATCATAAATATATTATGGAATATAGTATGAAATAACTATATTTTTTGTATGCAGCTATAACTTATTCATTTTCACTGCCATAAGGAATTGCAAGTATAAATATACCACAACTTATTTATCTGGATAATTCTATGGCCAACGACATTTCTTTGTTTTCAGTGTTTTACAATCACAAACACTGCTCCTGTGAACGTTCTTGCCCACAACCCCCAGCACACACATACAGTCAAGAGTTTCTCCATGATCCCTGGGTAAAAGCAGAATTGCTCGGCCCTATGGTATAGGCCTTTTCAACTTGACTAGATAGTGTCAAATTATTTTTCCAAATTAGTTGTACCAGTGTATATTTCAGTTACTCCATATCCTCAGAGGCAGGTAATATCCATTTTTGTGGTTTTTTTTTTTAATTTTTTTGCCAGTCTAGTGGGTAAGAGATATTATCTATCTGATTAATTTGCAAATCCTTGGCAATTGATGTGATTGAGTTTCTCTTCACATATTATTAGCCATTAGGGTTTCTACTTCTATGAAATGCTTAAGTATTTTATCCGTTTTTCTACTGGGTTGTCTTTTTATTACTTGAGTCATAGGGTCTTTAAAAAATATACAGTCTAGATATTAATCTTTTTACAATTATATAAAGTGATATATTATTTTAACAAATATCTTACCCAGTTTGTTCTTTAGTTTTCACTCTCCTTAGGGTATCTTGCTGAACAACAGCTAGTTGAAAAAGTACGTTAAGATCTTTATTTTCATGGTGATTTTGAGGCTAATATATGCAGGCATGCAGAGAAGTGGGATAGGGTGCTTGAAATAAAGAACACATGTGGATCTGCCACCATGAACAGTAGCAAACATAATCAAGTAGAAATAAGGAAAGATCCCAAATGAAGTGAAGAAAACAACACTGCTGAGATGATCTGAAGGTGAGTAAAAGATACAAAACTACAAGGACAAAGGGGAATAGGAGCCATCAGCAGACAGAAAACATTGACACACAACATTAAGTGCCTGCAGATGGGCATACCAATAAAAAGCCCTGCATATTTTCTTACAGAAAGCATATAATAGCCTGTACTCCTAGCTACTCAGGGGGCTGAGTTGGGAGGATCACTGGAGCTCAGAAGTTCAAAGGTGCAATGAGGTATGAGTGTGCCACTGCACTCCAGCCTGGGCAGCAGAGCCAGACCCTATCTCTAAAATGGAAAGAGAAAAAAAAAAAAAAGAAGGCAAACATATGATAAAGGTTAAGGGTTGAAGAGACACAAAAAGCTATGGGTAGAAAAACAAAAAAAAAATAGAACAAGGTTAAGGGAAGAATTAGTTTTAATAATGTGTTCTTATCAGTTTGCACAGTTAGATCAGGGTTGGCAAACAACAATTCACAAATGTGGCCCACCCACCTATTTTGTACAGTATGCAGGCTAAGAATAGATTTCACATTTTTAAGTGTTTTTTAAAATCTAGAGAATAACATTTCATGATCCATGAAAATTATATGAAATTCAAATTTTAGTGTCCATCAATAATGTTTATTGAAATGCAGTTGCACTCATTTCTGATACTTAATTATCTTTGCATTCCAAGAATAGCATTCCTAAGGTTCTAGTGTAGTTCTCATCTTGTTTAAAGCAACAAGATCACAATGACCTCTGCAAATAAACTGTGCACAGCTTTTACTCTTTCTTTTTCTGCAGTCACTTGAATCAAATATAAACTAGGTGTTCTTGAAAATTTGGTAGAACTCTCCTGCAAACGTTTTTGGGCCTGGAGTTTGTTGGAAGAAGGATCTTTAATATTGCAATTGGAAATAAAAATTATTTTCCTACTCATATTTCTAATTCCCCTTATGCCAATTTTGACATTTTATATTTAGATATAGCTATTCATAAAACTATTTTATTTTTATAATTCTCTGTATTATTGAGATTCAGTTATTTCTTCTATTATGCTCTGTATTTTACTCTTCCGCCTTAACCCTTTTTTCTTAGTTTGCCAGCAGTCTGTTCATCTTCTCTCTCCAATATACATAATAAACATAGGAAGAGATGCTCAAACTCATTAATAATCACAGAAATGCAAATTAAACCAACAACGAGAACTTACTTTACACCCTTAGACTGGCTAAAATTAAACAGCTAAAATTAGACATTACATAGAAACTGGTTTCTCCCAATTCTGGTATTAACTAACAATATTAAATGAAAAATCACTCTAGTTTCAAAATAAAATACATGAAATAGCAAGACATAATGAATATGTAACTATATTCAGGCAGCATCTTATTGAATATAGATATCTGGCAATCGATAACTGAACTGAATATACAGCTATGAGTGCACTAGCATTCACAATTCATATTAAGAAAATAATTATAACTAACTATTCACATTGGCTAGTTTTCCTAATTCACGTTTGCAGGTCAGATAATTAGCCAGAAAAAAATTAAATGTTTTATTGCTAATATGGACACAAATGTTTACTTGAAATTGTGTCAGACTTATATTTTTAAGGATTGAAAAATATAACACGGCAGTTTCTAAAATCACTGGCTTATTTTATTCTTGACTGAACTGAAAATGGGTTATATATACACACATATCATCAGAGATAAATGGAAGAATTTCATTTCTCATGCTCTCTTTAAAGTTCTGCAATAATGCATGATAATAAATACTTATATGTATGTGTGTGTATACACACACACACACACACACACACACACACACACACACCACTTAAACTTCCAAACAAGCTGTTTCTTCTTCCTTCCTCCTCTGTTCATGGTTCCACAATTACATCAGTGACCATTTCAAAAACTACTGGCAGCCCCTTTCATATCTCTTTGTATGCCAACACACTAAATAACTAATTTAGATTTTTGTCCTTTGTATAGTTCTTACATTAACTCCTTCCTTCCCAACCTACAGCCATTACTGTAGTTCAGAACCTGGCCTCAAGTTTAGATTACAGTTAATGCCTCTTAATTCCTCTTCCTTCTCCTTTATTCTCTCTCCCTACCCCCTCTTCTTGCTTTACTTTCCTCCCTCTCTTCCTCTCTCTCTCTCCTTCCATCCATCACACCTGTATGTTTTGAGTATCAATTATGTTCTAGGTACTGTTTTATTTTGGGGGATCACGCAGTGATGAAGACAGACCAGGTCCCTGCTCTTTCAGGGGTTTCTCTTGTTTCTTTACATTAATTCTATATTTAACTAGAAAACAAAATTTTCCACTGAACTGCTTTGTCCCTTGCCAACTGCATTCAAAAATATCCATTTGTTTTCCATGGCCTGAAGAATAAAAAGCCCAAACTTCCCAGATAGCTTTTCAAGACCCTCTGGAATCTGGCTCCATTCTACTTTTCCTGCTGAATCTGCTACTACTCCTATTATGCAGACCACGTGCTTTAATTAAACCTGAGTACCTATTTAAAACCCTGTCTATGACAAAGCATATGAGGTACCATATGATAAAGTTAGAGGTTGAATGCAGAAACAACAAAAGCAACTATAAAAACAACATAGGATAACACAGGAAAAAAAAAAAAGCAATTGAAGGATAAAGAAACCAGACTCCTCCCCATTTCCCACAAGTATTTTGTGATTGTTTTATTAGTGCCATAGGACATACCCAGGGACATGGGAGCAGGGGTTTCCTCTCAAGACAAAGGATGCCAATCACTCTGGAAAGGGTGAAGAGGGGAATCATTTGTATTATAAATATAAGGCTTCCTTCCTATCTCTGAGACAAGAATCAACTAGAAAGGAAGAAGAAACTGTCCAATGAGTCCCAAAACAGACCCAGTGGTAGCAGTGAGTTGCCCCTGACATACGGGAATAGGCCAGATGCAAAGGGCAATAGACGCTTCTCTGCATTGGCAGTCGAAGAATCAATAGCAGCATAGAGAAGCAGCCAGTTTCTGGCACAACCACACTAAGCAAGCAAGCAAATGTGGCACACTGCAGTCTCAACAGAGTGCACACCTAAGCTCTGCTCAACCAGCAGCTGCGGAAATTATTAGAGTAGGTAGGTAGTCAAGAGTGGGGCAGGAGAGGGCTCTCTCTATCCAGCAGGAATGTCAGGTGACCATCAGGTGATGGTCTGGCAGTTGTCACACTGAAATGATCACAGGCACCAGGAAGAGGCAATCTCCCAATAAATAAAAACACTTGAAATTGGTAACCAGTAGCTTCCAACAAAATCTCAGGAAATTGCCAAGTGGGCTCGAGCATGCTCATTAAGAGACAAAATGATGGAGTATGATCTTCGGGGGCATTCCACTGGAAAAGAGAAGAAGGCCTCAGGTGAGTATGCATACAACTTCTTAAACACACTGTGCATACTCGCCTCCCAAGTGTAAGGAAGGCACCACGCATGCTGGCGGCTCACCCTAAAGGAAGAATGAGGAAAGAGGGGTGCAAGACACTGGAAGTGGGCCGGCAAGTCCTAGGACCAAGGTTAAATGGGGCAATTGACCTCGAAAGTGCCCACTTGGGTCTCTTCCAAGTGTACTTTCTTTCCTTAAAGCTTTTTAATTCCACTCCTGCTCTGCAACTTGCCTTGGTCTCTTTTTCTGTCTTACACCCCTCAGTCGAATTCTTTCTTCTGAGGAGGCAAGAATTGAGGCTGCTGCAGACCTGTATGGATTTGCTGCTGGTAATTTGGATACCTTCTGCTGATAATATAACCATAACTAATTATTTGAAGTCAAGGCTGGAGCTGGGGCCTAAATACAGTGTTAGGCAGAGAAGGCCAGAGGGAATGAACCTGAAAACTTGTCTGAAAATGCTCATGAGGCAGCACAGCAGGAAACCTGCAAAGCACTAGAGGACACACTAGCACAGCTCATTTCTAGTAGGCCATAGTAATGCGCGTATAAGAAGAAAGTGCAATTTGATTTTGTAGTCACAGGCAGATGACATTAAGGACCTCAGGGCTATGCTCTTGCTTTTTTAATGATAATTATCACTGTCATATTTTATGCCTTTCCTTTTTCCTAGAGAGTGAGCAACTTTAAAGCAGAAACTAGAATCACTGTGAATTTTCCCATTGAATTGGCCTCTTGCCAATTTTTACAAATTTTTCTATTTCCCACAAAACTTTGTAAAAGGACTCTTCACACAGCAGAATTACAAAAACTATCTGTTCAATGAATAAATCAGCTCATTTTTACCTTCTATGTGGAGTGTGTGAAGTGTTGAAAAATATTTACATAAAAGATCTCACTAATGTTACATATATAATAAGAATACAGCTACCAAAATGGCAAGTGCATACAAACTTACATCCTTAAACAAAACAAAATCAACTTACTGGTAATCATCGCTCCAGTTACGGAAGCCAGAAATCCAATGCTGACTGCAATGACGGAGATGACTCTTCCCTGCCTATGCCTCTGCAGCATCACAAACATCAACACTCCTGCAGCACCATGGACAAACAGAGAAGAGAAGAGAGCCCAGAGGAAGATCCAGTACCACATCTCTGAAAGGAAAAGCAAAGTGTTAACCACCTGTTGAAATACAACTTAGAAAATTAAGTTTAGCAAATAGTAAGCATTTATGGTTTGGGAGGTTAAATGACATAATACACAGAAAAATGTCTCACACAGTGCCTGACACAATGAGCACTGAATACATTCTAAGGTTTATCATCATCGCTGATGGCTGATAGGGAAATAATTCCTTCCACGGCTTCAAAAGGTTAACACTATAATTTATTCTAAATGTCCCTATTATGTAGCTATCATCCATCAATTTTATATTAAACCCCTGATATATTTGTAAACTTCTTAGAATAAATTATAAAAGTTAATTACTGAGATAGAATCTTTTATTTTCTGCCCTAAATAGCAGTGTTAAGATTTTTTTAAACCTACCTCCTAATTCAGATCATTCCAGAAACCAGTGAATGATTTTTACCTTTTAGGACTTTTTAAAATTTCTCCTTGTGGCCCTGAACTTGGTATACTAAAAAATCAGTTAGATTTTTAAAAAATTTGCCTCTAGTCATCTTAGTGTTCCTTACCCAGAACTTTTTAAGCTCTAGTATTATCTCCCCAGTGTGACCTCAATAGACTGTTCATTGACATCTCAGCTGAGAGACAGTGGACAAGCACACTTTTCATTCTCTTTCACATTCATTCCCTTTCCTTCTGACCACCCGACTGCCTCCTAATCACTCCATATAGTTCCCACAGATGTCTTTGCACTGACTCCTTCTCCCTGAGCATACTGTAGTGAGGTATGAAAGAAAGGCAATGGATCCAAGCTGGGCCAATCGTTCCCTCGCCCTGGGACTTCTGGATTGGGACCAACTACATGTACTTGCTCTTTAGGTGGCTGAAGCTGAAAGCCTCAAGATTTGTGAAGCTACTTCATCATCGCATGATGAAAGCCAGAGTACAAGAAGGAAAAAGATCCATCAAAGACAAGAGAGAATCAAGTCTCTTAACCAGTGATTTCTAAGTCCCTGACACATTACCATCCTTAGATTCAATGTAACATCCGAGTTCCCTTGTAATAAAATTCCTCTTTTTACTTAAACTAGTTCAGGTAAGGATTCTCTCACTTACACCAGAAAGAGCTGACTTGAAAATATTTAGATGTCGCCTTGAGGATCATCCTTGATATGCAAACATTCTCTAATACAAAGTATTTCATCTGTGATTTGGGCTAGGTATTCACCATCAATTGTAAAAGAAAAGTCAATAAGTCATTAAATAAATAGAACTAAAATGGATGAATCAAAACCTATGTATCCAAATATCATTAAATATGGATATACACTGTTGGTAGGAATGTAAAATGATGCAGCTGCTGTGGAAAATAGTATGAAGGTTCCTGAAAAAAATTCAAATCAGAACTACCATATGATCCAACAATTCCACTTTCTGGGTATATGCCCAAAAAAACTAAAAGCAGAATCTCAAAGAGATATTGGCACACCCATGTTTATCAGTATTATTCACAATAGCCAAGAGGTGGTAGCAACTCACAGGTCCCTAAATGGATAAACAAAACATGGTACCCATACAATGGAAAATTATTCAGTTTTAAAAGGGAAGGAAGGAAACCTTGTCCCATGCTACAACATGAAAGGACATTGAGGACATTATGGTAAGTGAAATAAACCAACACGAATGAACACCACATGATTCTTTTCTTTTTTGAGGCAGAGTCTTGCAACACTGCCCAGGCTGACGTACAGTGTCATGACCACAACTCACCGCAGGCTCCATGTCCTGGGATCAAGTGATCTTCCTGCCTCGGTCTTCCCAGTAGCTAGGACTACACATGTGAGCAACCATGCCTGGCTAGTTTTTTAAAAATATTTTTTGTAGAGACAGGATCTGCATGTGTTTCCCAGGCTGGTCTAGAACTCCTGGCCTTAACTGATTCTCCTACCTCAGCCTCCCAAAATGCTGGGATTACAGGTGAGAACCACCACACACAGCCTCAAGTTGTAACCTTTATAATCAAACAGTAACCATAACCAGTGAAGTGTTTTCTTGAGGTTCTACCCCATGAGATAAAGTCTTGCTCTTGTCACCCAGGTTGAAGTGCAATGGCATGATCTCAGCTCACTGCAACCTCCACCTCCCAGGTTCAAGTGATTCTCCTGCCTCAGCCTCCCGAGTAGCTGGGATTACAGGTGCCCGCCACCACAACGGGCTAATTTTTGTATTTTTAGCATATACGCAGTTTTGCCATGTTGGCCAGGCTGGTCTGGAACTCCTGACCTCATGATCTGCCTGCCTTGGCCCCACAAAGTGCTGGGATTAAAGGCATGAGCCACCACGCCTGGCCTCCTTTAGTTCTATGAGCTGTTTTAGCAAATGATGAAACCTCAAGGAGGGGTCAATGGGAGCCCCTGACTTACAGCCAGTCAGAAATACAGTAAACTCAGACTTTCTACTGGTGTCTAAATGGGACTCGTTTCTAGGACTGTGCCTTTAACTTGGGGGACTGGATGCTAACAACAGATAGACAACAGAACTGAATTAAACTGTAGGACACCCAGTTGGTATCCTAGAGAATTGCTTGGTGTGGGGAAAAAAACCCACACATCAGTTGTCATAGAAGTGATCTATGTGAGGGTGGATAAAACAGTGAGTACCTTTTTTGGGGGGGTGGGTGGTGGTGCTGGAGTGCAGTGATCTCAACTCACTGCAGCCTCCACCTCCTGGGTTCAAGCAATTCTCCTGCCTCAGCCTCCCAAGTAGCTAGGATTACAGGTGCCTGGCACTATGCCCAGCTAATTTTTGCATTTTTAGTAGAGATGGGGTTTCCCCATGTTGGCCAGACTGGTCTTGAACTCCTGACCTCAGGTGATCTGCTTGCCTCGGCCTCCCAAAATGTTGGGATTACAGGTGTGAGCTATCATGACCAGACAACAGTGAATATGTTTCATCAGATATGTTTTTACCAAATTTTTTAAAAATGTAAAAGCATAGATATAAGTTTAAAGAATAATTAGATCAAGACCATAAATGACTAAGAATTTTAAAATAAAGCAAAGAGTCCTTAAAACGGAGGGCAGGTATGATTATTAAAAAGCAACATGAGGAATATTTGTGGTGATGGATTTGTTCTTTGACTACAGTAGTAGATACACATGTAAGCAATAAAACTGTAAAGAACTAAAGACATATAGAGAAGAGCACAAGTGTTCAAGAAATACTTGCAAAATCCGGATGAGGTTGGTGGATTGCATCAATGTCAATATCCTGGTTGTGATATTATACTGTGGATATCCGAGATGTTCCCACTGGGTAAACTTGATAAAGGGTACATGCACTCTCTATGTATTGCTTCTTACAACTGTGATTCTTATAGTCTCAAAAGTTTAATTTTAAAAAATGAAAGAGGGAATAGAAAGATTTTTTTTTAAATCAGCCTAGCCTGCCCAATTCTTAACAATTGGCACATAGAATGGACTCAGGCAATTTGAAATTATTTTAAAGAAGAGACATCTGATATATTTTACAGTGCATATTAAACTACCATGCATGCTTCTCAATGGCATAAGAGATAGATGCTAGTGATTACAGAAAAATAGGCAAATCTTGCCTTTTAGAGGCTTTACTCTTCCAGCATTCAGGGAACAGTATTTCAGACTATAACTCTCAAAAAATGGCTTTCATTTATAATAAATACATTAAAATTTAAAAACCTCAACTTCTTCAGAAGATATCTGCATATTAAAAGATATAGTTTTCCAAAGTGAACCTAAGAAAGTGAGAATATACGGGAGTGTAATATGGGGGTGTATGTTTCATCAAGGGAGCTCTTTTCTCAATTTACTCTGAGACAGGGAAAGGCTCTGCAACAACCAGACTCTTCAACAGAAGAAGTCAACAATCCACCTTTTATCACAAGCCCACTTTAAAAAGCTCCTATATACAATTAAAGGAAATAATTTCTTGACAATATTTAACACTATGAACAGGAGATTATCTGACAGTATAAAAAAAAGTATTGTTTGACTACTGAGTATGTAGCTATGACCGCACCAATAAATCTACATAAAATAAGGCAAAGTAAAATTTCAGTTTGTTTTGTAAAACCCCAACATATCAAAATAATCATAAAGTTCAAATAGAATCTCAAATGGTCCTCCAGTGACTAGTCCAGGATTATTCCTTCATCAGACTGAACATGAACAGAGTATCCTAATGTCAGATTTACTTCTATGTTTCTCTCTTTCAAAAAATTATACTCTTTATGATGGAAAAAATGAACTCTCTCGAGAATATTTACAGTTATGTTAGGTTTTGTGTTATTACTATTATTGTGAATTACCTGATAGATCAGTATAACCTCATGAGTGAACAGGACCTCTAAAGATTTGGATCAACTCTAGATAAGCAAAGCTGTCTAAGGTCCCAACACTATTGGCAAATACATGAAACCTACTGGATTAGTTCAGGTGAAAAGAATTGCAGGATCCTAAGGACTAGAGCAAAAGCAGATGCCCAAGTCCCTGGGAAGAACACCTAGTAAAAAGACAGGAGTGGACTACCACAGCCTTTTCTTAAACTGTCTATGCTAAAGTGAACACGCAGAGGCTCACAGTTTTCTTTCTCCACTCATACCCCACCTCATCTAAGCTTCTAGCAATTGGGCAACAATGAAGGGAGGAAGCATGAGAGAGACTTTGCTAGTGCAGAAAAATATACAAAACAAACATTTTAAAAATGTAATACACAAAACAACAGAAACTTGGAAGCATCTCATGCCTATAATCACCATAATTCTCTGGAAGGGAATATTCCTTCTTCCAGAACATATTTCAGAAATTCCTTTTGTAACTTTCCCCCTCAAGACTGACAATAATCCTCACTTTAAACTAATTTTGACTGGATTGTTGCAGTGTGTTACTTTTTGGTAGGGTAAAAGGCAGGAGAGTTATGATCTGTTCCAGCCCCCAAACAATACTAGAAATAGCTCTGCTTCCAATCTGTAACTCTCATCAGCTCTGGT